AATTCGGTAATTGTGAAGCATGTATACTGAAAAATGTAGGTCTAGCTAAATGTTTATAAATTGCTTTGTTTCTTGAAAGATTTTCAACAGCATTAGTATAAGTTATTATTTATTTTCATTTAGATTGTAAATATAGCCAGAGAGCCATGGACAGACTTGGAAATTATAGACTATCAAAAATCGCTGCTTTTCTTATATTTTAGCTTTCTTCCCTCAGATAATTATCTGTTGCACAAAAATAGGTGTAAAAGGTAGTTATTCATGTCTAATCAAACCCAATGAATTTTAAATGAAAAAATAATATATTGAAATTAATAAATATCACTAATGTTGAGTTTCAGCTATAGTTGAAGCAATCAAAATGTTCTGGAAATAGTAAATTCAGCTACAACATCCTCATCTTTTCTTACTTTGTGCCTTCAAGCCAGAGATTTTTTTCTAGGGGGTGGATACACAATTTTTATGTTAACATTTTTTAATGTCAAAACTAACAGAAACAGCATTTATTTGGTCACCAGAACTTTTTAATCTCTAATAAGAAGGGATGGGAAAATGAATGTGAGGTTCCATGAGTTTTGAATAGGGCACCTAAGCAGGTATTGCTATCTACTTTTACATTAAATATTGTTTCCCTTTGCAGTATCTAGCAGTCTCCTCTAGGCCACGCATTATAGTTTTAAAAAGATATAACATGACCTCATGAATAACTTGAGTTCTAGCTTCATGAACTTCAATTACAAAATTTTATTGAATTCCACAGGATATAAGCTAGATCTAAGTCATTTGCATGTTAATCAAGTATGAAAGGAAAAGATGAAAAAGGAATGTAGTCTGGAAGATTGAAATGAACAACAGCTATAAAATGGAAGTGTAATGTCCTACATAGGGCACTTGTTAGTTAAAATGTGTGATCACTTCCAGTGACCACCAGTTACTCTTCTTTGTGTTGTTTATAAGACACAAGATATAAGTCAGCAAGAAGTTGTGTGGAGAGATGCAAGCGCTATTCTGATGTTGGAATTTCTAATGATTTGTTTACTACGGTCTAAGAAAGATTTTGTGTGCAATTAACTTTGTTTTTAATGGTCACTTTTTCAGGATAATGAGTGTAAGTAGTCGCATGAACAAAAAGCTCATTTGTTTGCCTTAAAATAATTAATTCTTTATCCTCCATTTTGCGTATTTTGATCTTAACATTTTGAAGAAATAAAGCCTTGATTTACTAGTATATCCCAGTGACTGGTGGACACTAGCAGCCCCTGGCTTGTCTGGTATAGAATGAGTAGTTTGGATTAATTATTTACTGAATTTCATTACAGTTTTGGAATCCAGTCATTTTATGAAGACATGTTGTTTACTTGTACAGAAAGATGATTCACTCATGATTATTACCTTTGATTTTGTGACATGTGGAATATTCTGTAAAGCCAGCACTACCAAGACATTAGCTTATATAATTTAGTGGAAAACAAGTTTCAAAAGCTTATTTTTATTTGATATGAGTGTCTTTATTTTGGATTCCTATTTTCTTCAGTTGAAATAGAGTTTTTCTGTTGATATTTTATTTTGATTCTATATTTAGAGGCTCTATAATATTTTTCTTTATTTCCCCAATTGCAAAAAATAATAATCCACACATGAAGTTACAGGTGAAAATTTTACTCAAACCCTATGCAGTTTTGAGTTTCTCAACAGAATGTGTCCAAAACCACATTAGGATGCTCCTCTAGTTGCAAATGCTGGAAAAGCTTGAGCAGTCAACTGCCCAGTAAGATTCCTGTGAAATGAAGAAGTGAAGTTTCTACCTCTGGAGCCAAAAGAATGCTCTCCCAATTTTCCTTAAATGGTTTTCTTTTAAAGGATATTTATAAATCAATTATCTAATTTTATGTGTTCTAATTATAAGGGGGGGGAAACTAAGGCCCAATTCAGGAAAGATTGATTATGAAAGTATAAGATGGAAAGTCATTCTGTCATGAGCCTGTAAGAGAGGAAGATGCACACATGCCCGAGTCCCCTGAGGGGAATTGGAAGATGAAGTCTATCATCACAGAACTGGTGCCTCTTCCTTTCCAGTTGAGCTCTTAGATGGATCAGTGGTTTTGAAAGCTTATGTAAAAGCTTGCAGACATCACAAGGGCATTGACATAAGCTAATTTTTAAAAAACAAAAAATGACCAAAATGTGACTCAAAGGACCAAAAATAATCAAAAAATGAGATCATGAGATTTTATTTTTTAAGCAATGGTTCATAAATAGGTATTTTTAAAAGATATTTACATTCATTGTTTTAGGATGAGGCACTAGTAATCATATTGGGGAGGGAGATATGTGCAAGAAATTCTCTCCTGTATTTGGATGCAGATTAGTTGTATTTGCTGATCAATGAATGCCCTCTAATCTTGTAGGACAATACAAGGTCTTACAAGACTTAGACAGTGTCTTATAAGACTTATTAAAAATAATGGAACTTGGTGTCAGAACTGTGTGATGCTCCAGATGTATTTACTTTTAATTAATTTTTCTTTTTATTTCTATTAATATAGAAATATTTTCTTTTTAATATGACACATATTCTAAAGGAGATAATGCAAATATGTTTACCAACACTATTTGCTATCCTTACATGATATATCAGATGTACAATATAATTATTTTAGTCTACACTGGCAAAACTGAAAATAACTTATCTATCAGGCACTTTTCATAAGAAAATGAATATTGTCTTTTTGCATCTTACCTTTCTTTTTCATTTCTGCTTTCCTATTTTCTTCTCCCTCTCTTCCTTTCCTTCCTTCAGACCCCCCTCCTTTCATTGTCCTTCCCTTCCTTTCCTTTTCTTTTGTTTCTTAAATACTTGTAACTATTTACTTTGATGGCTATCTGTCCTATACAAGCTTTCCTCACACTTTATATTTTCACAATTTTAAACTTATTTTACTTTTGTATTTATGTACTTCTGCAGTTACAGTAATCAAGTTTCCCATAAAAATAGCTAAAGTGCTTTGTTAAATTCATTCAGGAAGGATTCCCTTGTTTAAAGTGGATGCCCCTTTTCTTTATATTGGAAACTGTTCTACAGAAGATAATGTAGAAATCAGGTCATGTTCATGTTTATGTTAAATGTTTAAATAACTGAAATTTTGTGATAAATACTGAATATACCCTGCTAGGAACACAATTTAAAGGTGGAGTTGGCAACCTCTGAGGTTCTAACACCTCCAAAGTTTTGTTTTGTTTTGTTTTCCCAAATAATGTTGAGTATGGTGTAGGTGTATTAACTTGGATATGCTTGTGTATTCTGAATACAATCTGATGAGAGAATGTTTGGGCATAAAGACACGTATTTTCTTGAAATGACATACTTGGGAATCCTTTACTCAGTCCAAGAAAGATACAGTCCTGTTGTCCTAGACTTGAACAGATATAAATTATCCCTCATGATGTTCTCTGAATCTTATATTCTGTGTCTACCCAGAGTAAAAAATAAAAATATATTCAGAAAGTAAGTAATGTCGTGAATTTGTTGTATCTTATTTTTCTTTTTTTTAATGGTTCAAGTTACAGCTGCATTCAGCAGTAGAAATATAAATGCTTTAAAAATCCAACAACTATGTTAAGGTTTTTTTCTTTCTGGTCAGTGCAGTGAAGGAATTCGCCAACTACAAATTCTTATCAGTGAAGTGAAAATATACACTGCATTGGTTTCCTGACAGCACTGTTAAGACTGAGTCATATTTCCAAATAATTCTAAAGATTTGTGGTGTCATTGTACAGAAATAATAATGAGAATAAAATATCTGGTTCCCTACTCAGATGGATACTGATTTAATTTTGTCAAAAAGATTTTAATTTATTGACTAATAGTTGGGTTTTATAAGGACAGATTCTTTAATGTGATATATACTGTTTGTAGATTCTTAGTAAGAAATAGAATATACATCTCAAATTTTCTCCAGAGCAGATAACTATATTTGTTCCCAACTCAAAAACTTACTGGGCTTTTAGTTCATGAAACATTTTTTTCTTATACACATAATCCTAGAGAACATAAAATAATCACTGTTATGCAAAACAAAGGCAAATAAAACAAAACCCCATGAAATGTAGCCCTTAATGGTATTTGAAATCCCTCCCTCACTACAAAATAAAAGGGAGATGGAGGCAGGGACAGCAGAGAGTATGTGAATCTTAGAAACAAGTAAATGTAAACCTAGTCTGCTGTGCTGTTCTTCTGGAAAATTCTCTCAATATGTGACTTTTTGTACTTTTGTCTCTTCTGTTTGCCAGCTAAAGCGGTGTGTCGCCTGCATGAGCTGCTTCTCTCCTACTGGAGGCTGTTCAGCAATAAATTCGTGTGAAATAATAGCCTGTGCTCATTCTAGTTAGAGCAGTTAATAACTGGTTAAGCGACATTTCCTTCAAATGGCTGTTTTCTTCGCCCGAAAGCAGCCTCTCTCACCCATCCCCCTACCCCTTCTCCATCCAGGCCCCAACTTCCTCCTCCAATCTCCAGCCCGGAGCCCGGAGGACAGCGCCATCCTAGAGCAGTAGGGCCCTCTCAGCAACAGAGCTATCCCATCCGCTGAAAGAGAGAGATTCAGTCCATGGGGAGATAAAGCAAAATTGGGGGTGGGTTGGGGAGGGGGAAATAGACGTTCCATCTCTCTGGAGGGAGGACACAGTCGCCCAGTCCCGTGCCCTGGTGCTCACAGGGTTAAAGCGCCCTCGCTGCGGTCGGAGCAAAGTTGCGGCGGCGAGAGGGCTGAGCCCCCGGGCCCTCTGCCCACCCCACTGCCACCCCCATCCCCACGCGAGGCCGACTTGGCATGGGGGAGGCGAGCACGCAGCCGAGCGGCTGACGTGGACCAGCTGCAGGTACCGCGAGCGCGGCCGCGGAGACACTCCCCTCGCCGCAGCCGGGTCTGGACTCGACTAGCCGACTCGGAGCAGCTGTTCACCCTCCGCGTTCGCACCCACCCCGCCCCCACCTGCCCCCAGCTTGTCCGAGCTGAGAGCAGCTGGGTGAGTGCAGCGACGCGCCCTGGGCTCTGGACCGGCCTCTGATAGATAGATGTGCATCCCTTTCTTTTAGGATTTTTGGCTCTTGGCTACACTGATGTGACCCCCTCCCCACCCTTTTGGAATGATGGGGATCTTTTTGGCGTATGTTGGATTTGTTTTCTTTTCGATTTTATATGTACAGCAAGGGCTTTCTTCTCAAGGTAAGTCTTACTGGTTGCCAAATATACATTTGCTTGTGGTGTGTGTGTGTGTGTGTGTGTGTGTGTGTGTATGCGTGTTCTCTACAAAGAATGGCCAGACAGATGTCATGAGGCTCCTAGCAAGTAGCAGTGGTTTAGGTTGTGCAAATAGTGTTCTGTTTGGCTTTTTCTTCAAAGTTTATTAAACAGCAGGCAAGCTAAATTTGAGAGCAAATTTAGTTGGTACCTTATAATGAGGTAGCTTCCTTGGTGAACACAAACACAGTGTGTGCGTGTGTGTTTGTGTGTGCGTGTATGTGTGCGCACACGCACGCTCGCCTTCTCTGTGTGTGTGTGTGTGTGTGTGTGTGTGTGTGTGTGTGCGCGCGCGCGCGCGCGCACAGGGTAACCACTCATGCATACATAATCATCACACACACAAAAAAAACAAGAGCTGTGGATGGGGTCTCTCCATTACCAGTCCTCTCTGTGTAACAGAATGAGTTTAGAATTTCCCTTTTTGGGTCCTTGTGATTTCGTTTGCATTGTGTGTTTATCAAAGAACAGACTCCTCTGAGACCCATAAACAGACAGGACTTGCATACAAAAGGCAGCAGCCTGCCGAATCCAGTTGTTCCGGACCTCGCAGGCTGCAGCAATCATTTCAGCACCACGAACAGATCACATCGCTAATGCCGAACTGCAACATTTCTGCAAGAAATGCGTCCTCTTCCTTCCAGCAGGAAAAGTCCTTTTCGAAAGTCTTAACAGCTACCATCTTCTTGAAGTATAAAAGCAGAACCATTTCAATAGAGATCATTTGGGATTTCATAATATGTTGAAAAGAGACGCTGATGGTGTTTCTCTAAAAACTGTCTGGGGTGGGGGGGCAGTGTGTGGGGGGGGGCGGTGCGTGTTTGCATGCACCTTAAATCAGCCTTGCAGCCCCTTCGGTTGGTCTCCACACGTGTGCTTTGTAGCTGTGCACTTCCACCAGCCACTAATCTCTCCAAGGCTTGAGTGAATCATCGTTTACTTACAAAGTGTTCCTTAGTCAAGATAAGAACAACTATCCAAAGCATTCCATGTTAAAGAAATGCCTTTGGGAGAAAGGGAACACCTTGTTTTTGTAAGCTTCACCGTGATTCCATGATCCTGCAAACTAGCAGTGTCAAGATTTGTCATGAAAAAGCTGGGAAAAAAATCTCTCTGGTGACTTCAAAATATTGTTTATCTGAACTATATCAATTGGATTCTTAAATCCAATTGATATATGGTAACTTACAACACAGTAGTTTGATGGGAACAAATATGAATGTTAATTTGAAGAGAGAGAAATATTCCCAGCATTGGAGAGTATGCAACTTGTGCTATTGCCTTAGTCTCCAAATAGCAATTGCTAATAATAGCTTTGATATAATCAGGAATGTGCATTTGATAGGTAATCATGGCCCATTCTCTTTTACATGCAACAGTCATAGATTGTTTAGCAACTTGGAGGAAAAGGGTCCTCTCATATGTCAACTCTGCGACTTTGCTTAAATTTTACATCACTGAATCCCTTAAGTTTTGGGAAATACTGCAATCTGAAAAGGTGTTTGTATCTAACTGTGGACAGCGTGGCTAGCAGGAGAGTTATCAGCAAACTTACTGGTCTCTCCATTTTCTGGATTTATCAACAACAAAGTGATGTAGACATTATACCAAAAATAAGACAAGAAGGGGGTTTGGGGAGTCAGGTGAAGCCAGAAATATGATAAAGAGATTTTTGTTCCTGTTTCCTTATGTCCAAGAATAATGTAGCAAGATGTTCAAGGAAAGATGCTGACAAAAGTGGCGTGGATATTCCAAATGGATTCATTTCTGTTTTGCAGCAAAATTTACTGAGTTTCCGCGGAATGTGACTGCAACCGAAGGGCAGAACGTGGAGATGTCCTGTGCTTTCCAGAGCGGCTCTTCCTCGGTGTACTTGGAAATCCAGTGGTGGTTTCTGAGGGGGGCAGATGACTTGGAGCCTGGGGCTGAGGTGGCTGGCTCTCAGGTAGCTGAGATTCTTGGCTAACAATTCCCTGGGTCTGTGGGATCTAGCCCTAGTCCTCCAAAGTCTGTTGGGGGTGGGGAAAATGTGCTTGTGTGCCCTTGGGGATATGTCAACACTCTTGGCCAGAGAATTGCCCAGGGATGCTAGGGAGTGAACAGGACTTTGCAGTTGTGGTTACACTAGGTTAAAATCCTGGTTAAAATTGGGAACTTCTCATCCATTTAATCCTGGTTTCTACCAAAGCAATCCTTGATAGTGCTCCTGCAGTGATGCATCAGGGAAGGTGGGGTGAGGGAACATAATTCTTTCAGTACCCCTATACCTGCTACTCACCCTCTGTAGCTATTTCTTTTCATGTCTGCATTCGGCTGGGAAGAGATTGCTGTGGCGGTTGTGGGGGGTGGAGAGGGGGCTGGGAGAGAGGGCTGGCAGGGGAGGAGGAAAGCAGAAGGGGTAGAGAGAGGGAGGAGGGGAAGAGGTTGGGATGAAAGAGCTGGAGGGGAGGAGGAAAGAAGTGAAAAGGAAGAAAAAAGAGGGGAAGGGGGGAGTTAGGCAGAGTGGGAGCAGTGGGAAGGGTGACGGGAATAGGGAGTGAAGGGAGAGACCGGAGGCAACTTGAAAATAGATGAGAGAGGATGGAGAGGGGAGTAAAGCTGAGAGTGCTGGAGGGAGAGCAGAAGGGAGCACTGGAGAGGCTGGGAAAGGAGGGTTAGAAAAAAAGGGGGAGACCTAAGGGAGAGGATGTCAAGGGAAGACTGAAAAAAAGTTCAGCATGTCCTATTGAGAAAAGGAAAATCTGTTGCAGCAATCTAGGGCAAAGAGGCAGATTCTGGTACTCAGCGGACTTGCACCCACCTGGTACCTCGCCCTCCTTCACTTAGCCCTGGTGATGCACACCGAGCATCCCTGGGAAGCCCTCTTGGGCAGTCCCCAGCCCCCACTGAAATTTCACTCAGGCCTCTGAGTGCTGGGCTATGCAAGCAGCCGCACCCACCCTCTCTTAGTCTGCACCTTACCTAAGTCCCCATCCTTCAATCAGCCTCTACTTTCTCTGAGCCTCTAGCCTCTCTTGAGCCCCATCTGGGAACCGCGCATGCGGCCATCTCTGAGTTTTGGACAAACCTACCCTCACACCTTCGTACTCAGCCAGATGGAAGGCTGGGAAGAAGGTGGCCTCCTTCTGGCCTGAAAACCCCTAGCCAGTGTGGCCTCGACCCTCCCCTCCCACATCCACCACCCTCTGTTTCTGGTTTCTGAGTCACCCAACTGAACTATATAGAGGCTGGGGACACGAGGTGGGCTCAGTTAGTGTCGAACTCTAGCTGCTGCCCAGCGTGTGTCTACTTGTCACGCAGGTGGAGTTGGTGCCAGATCGCGACCCGGACAGCGAAGGGACTAAGATCAGCGTGAGTATCTCTGCAACAGCCACAGGGGTGGTGGCTCCTGCTAAGGCCAGGCAGGACCTGGGTGCAGAATGGTTCATTAATTTTGGTTTATAAAATATTTTAATTTACTGTTGCTGAAAGAGGCGATTTTACAAACGCAAGACTACTCCTGCCTAACTCATGGGGCACATAAAATTTGAAGCTGATTTAGAGCTGGTACAATGAAATTGTTTATTTTGATCATGCAATATTTAAACAATTACTTGAGCATCATTCTGCCATCCAAAGAGATGTGTGGCAATTTTTCCTTGCAATTTTTAACAGTTACGTAATTTTAAGTATTAAGGGCTGCAGTGTTATATATCCATTTGAAGTTACAGAAATTACATCTTTTAGTAGTATGTAAAATATTAGCATGCAGAAATCTTCGTAGGCAGAAAAATTTAAAACATCTGACAATACCTTGAAATTGTAATGAAAACAACTCAATTTTCAATATAATGCATACAATATATTTCTAATGCCGGTGCTCAAAATCATAAATATAAATATAGACATAAACATAAAGTCAAAATATATCTTTTTTGGCAAAATATTGATTTCAGGGAGTAGTTCTAGAGGTTGGATGGAGACTCCCTCCCAATAATGTTTATTGATGTAAAGTAGGTTTACATCTTTATATATGCTCCAAAGTTTATAGGTTCAAACCTCTATAAATGTACACTTGTATACCCTGCCCACCACCAGCGCTCTAATAATCTTCAACCATGTTTGAGAGGTTGCTTTAAATATTTCTGTCTAAACTTCTTTCTGTAAGGGTCTCTCTCAGGCAGCTCTAAGGCTGCATATCTCTTTTCAATGAAGGAAGCAAAGTGAACTTTATTTTCCCCTGGTAAACACCCTTTCTTCTCTCAACCTCCCTTGTCCTCATGCGCAATCTACTCAGTTACATTGTGTCTCCTCCACTTATATGAGAAGTATACATGTTATTATTAAACTTCTATACCCTGGTGCTTGTTTGATTGTCAGCCTAGATGAACCCAGAGGGGTTTTAGATTATTTCCTTTGCACCTTAACCATTGTTAATAAATTTCCATTACTAGAAATGAAATAGTTTCATAATAAAAAATAAATTTGTTAAATATGTGTTTGTATATATATATGTATATATATATGGAATCTAAAAAATGCCCAGCATTGTTTTTATGTTATGTTATTTATGCTTAAATTGCTTAAAAAATAAATTTATTATGAGGCCTTTACAATAGGCTGGTAAAAATTTGAGATACATCATTTCCATAGTCAAAAATATATTTTACTAATAGAATAAAATATGGTCAAAATGTATAATCTCAATTGGAAGAAAAAATCAAACAAAAATAAGATATAAGTAAAGAAACTCCAATATATATTTATAGTCACTGATCTTTTCAGAATGTTTTAATTAAATTATTATATTGCAGAAACTGTTGTTTTCCTATATTGGTAGAGAAACTATTGGTAAGATAAATTGTTTATTAATATTTTTTGTGAAACATTTTATTTTTCATACACATATAAATGGCTAAATGTTTTAACTTTATTTAACTATTTGTCTTTCACTCAAGTACATGTCCTACAAAGTATTAGTAATAAAAGTAGTCCCACACATCCTGACCTAGGTTAGTGTCCAATCAGGTGCATAATCACACTGTTACTCGTGCCAATAGTTCATAAAATCAATAGTTCATAAAGTTTTTAGAAAGTGAATTAGAAAGTTTTCTAAATACCAAATGAAGTAGAAAGTAGTTTGCCCTAGTCTACCCACTGTGTGAATTTGATCATATGTCCTATGTCAGCAGTTTTTATAATTCCTTTGATAACATACTGATACTAGTAAAGGTGTGCTCTTAGCCCTCTAAATCATGTGTAGTATTGTAAATCAATGTTACCTCCATAAAATATTGAAAATAGATATCAAAGCTCCTTAGGGGATAAAATAAACTGTTATGAGCTTTGTCACCTACAGATGCAGTTACTAGTTCTTCATTAATCAAACTGAAAGTGTTAAAGGGCAGGAAGAGGGGCAGCCCAAACCCCGCAAACCTGCCTGTTCTAAATGGGTTCTGCCATCCGCCGCATCAACACAAAACATATGAGACTTTAATGGGAAGGAACTTTAATACAATTAGGAAACAATACAGGAAAGGCAAATAATACAGTTTCTAAATCAAGTACCCAAAGTTACCCGTCCCCTCGTGGGTAAAACTCCATCCAAATGGGATTGGCCCAGAGCAAGGCCCCAAAGCCTGCCACAAATCTGAAGTACCTTTCAGTGGGGACCCACAGAAAAGGGTCAGAAACAACCAGACAGGTCAGAAAGGAAAAGAGCAAAATTAAAATCAAGATAAAAGCTGCCATTATTACCTCCCCACAGGTCTCACCCACATCTGTGTCACCCAGTCCACGACCAAAAGACAAGCGCAGTTTCTTCATGTGTCTCTAGGCTTCATCTTGCTTCCTTCCTCAGTCTCCTCTGCAGCTTCTCCTCTCCCTGCTCAGCTCCACCCTCCCTTGGGTGGGGCAGGGAAACTCCCCCCTTTCCTGGGGACCACCCTGTTACAAAAGTATTTTCTAAGAGCATCCTAGACGATTCTATTGAGCACTTATTAAGACTCACTCATTCAGGGCTTCCCTGGTGGTGCAAGGGATTAAGCAAAGCACTGTGAAGCTATCTGCAGCCTCTGCAGCATGAGTTCTATACCAGGCTGGCCAGGGAGTTACCCACATGGCTCAGCAGACCTCTCCCGTCTTGCCTGCTGCTCCCCTCAGCAGTGTATTTCAGTAGATCTGCCTGTTCTGCTCCCCATTCTGTTTCTGGTGAATTCTCTTATTCCTAGCACCTCTGGCCTGAACCCCAGTTCTTATATGCATAAATGAATACATCTTTAAAAAAAATCAGTCACCCAAACCTCTAAGCTTCAGTTTACTCTACTGTAAAATGGGATAATAAAATATATAAGTACTCTGAATACCTCAAACTTTATTAGGAAATAGCATAATATATTTTAATCTGTTAATATAAATTATATTTGTAGTATTAGTATATTTATTTTTTAAAGATTTATTTATTTATGCATACAAGAACTGAGGTACAGAACAGAGGTATGGGTGGTAAGGGGATTCAGCAGAGACAGAGTGGGGAGCAGAACAGGCAGATCTACTGAAATACACTGCTGAGGGGAGCAGCAGGCAAGACAGGAGAGGTCTGCTGCACAATGTGGGTCACCTCCTGCTGGGGAGGGGGGGCGGTCAACACTCTTGCTGCAGTAGCTGCTGCAGAGAGCTTCATAGTGCTGCGAAATAACCCCTTGCACCACCAGGGAAGCCCAGTAATATAATTTTGTATGTACATAAATATGTTCAAATATGTCAAATAGTTCAAATGTGATACTGTTTGTATAAACAGCTCTACATGTAAACACAAGTGAACAAGGACTTTGGGTGCTGTGGTTGTAGAAGAGCTACAGTGACCACACCTGAGGGGAGAAATCTTACATCATCAAAATACTTACAAACATTTAAAACAATGGTGTTTCGTCAGTAAAAAAAATAAATAAATAAATTTAAAAAGCAGATGTACACTTCCTAAAAGTTCTTAATTAGTTATGGTCATTTCAAAGTATAATGGCCAGTGGCAGTATATGTGCCTTCTTTACTTTTTTTGTCTCATTCAAAATAGCCAAGTCATTAAAGTCTAATCACCTTATGAAATCCATTATTCTTTTAGTCACTGATAATATACAACATATATTAAATCAAACTATTCTGATAAAAATGCTTATGGATATATATAATATTGTATATTATATAGAATTTTACTAATTACAAATACTCATAACTATATATAAAATTATATCAATATAATCTTACTATTAACCTAGCTTAAATTTATTAAGAGAAATAAGAGAGTTAATTTCAGTTTTTAAAATCATTCAAATGTATAATTAATGACATCTCAAGGTCCAGTCATTATAATGAGATGCTATAATGGCAAGGTGTATGTATTTAATGAGCCATAAGATTTCAGGTCATATTATTCTGCACCTTGATCCACGCTAACCCATGACTATGGGTTAGACTGCACCAAATATTTGAGAAGAAAATTCTTTAATAACCAAATCTACTTTATATCTTTAGTAGCCATCCCAGTGTGAGGATGACCTCACATTTTCACTTAAACTCATTATTGATCACATTGACCCACAAAATATTTTTGTCATCTTTCAGAGTTATAGCCTGCAGAGAAGAAAAGAAACATACAGACTAACTTGCCCTAACTAGGTTTGTGCCTAATTGAGCTTAGAATTAACAGTCAATCCATGATTAGAAAATGGCAAAGCAGCTACTGAAACCTGGGAAATAGTGACCACATGGCTAATGGAATTTGGCACTGGCTAGATTGAACTAATTATTCCATGAATTTGTGAAGCCAGTTGTTAGTGGATTAGGATAAATAAGACCTTCAGATTTGACTGCTGAGAAAATAAAAAGCTTTATGTCTATGGCCAGAAAGACCCTTTAATTTCCAACATTAGCAATCTCAGGACAAAGTATAAAAATGAAATCATTTGATGTAGCACTTCATTTTTTTCTTTTTACCTGCAATTTTTCAGACAGTGAAAGTCCAAGGCAATGACATCTCTCATAAGCTTCAAATTTCCAAAGTGAGGAAAAAGGATGAAGGTTTATATGAGTGCAGGGTGACGGATGCCAATTATGGAGAGCTGCAGGAACACAAGGCCCAGGCCTATTTGAAAGTCAACGCCAACAGTCATGCTCGCAGGATGCAGGCCTTCGAAGCCTCACCCATGTGGCTGCAAGACATGAAGCCCAGGAAGAATGTCTCTGCAGTAGCTCCCAGCAGCATCCACAGCTCTACCAACCAGCGAATTCACTCCACCTCCAGCCCGCAAGGGGTAGCCAAATTCCCCAAACAAAGTCCACAATCAGGTATGGAAACCCATTTTGAGCTGTCATTTACCACTCACCAGCCTTCCACAGGAAGATCGGTAAAGTATAGTAGACAGACTTACATATGATGGCTTTTAAGTTGGAGCCTAGTTCAGTTGAAGTAATGATACAATGGCAAGGGGAGCTCCAGGCTGGCCTTCACAGAGGATGCAAGTGGTCCCATTGGTCACTGGCAGTGTGTCATGTCCAAGGGCCCTAAGAGCTGGACTTTTGTTCTTCCTGTATTTACAGTTTATAAGAGCAATAAATCATGTCATGTTGGTTGCATTATAAATGCATGTTCATTTTCTCCACAGATTTATGTATCAATAATAACCCAAATTAAGAGACTTTCACTTAATCAAAATGTAAATGAAAGAGACACACCACATTTTCAGTGACCCATAGCTTTAAGCAGGACTATTCTCCAAGGGCTTTTGATAGTGAAGGAGAAACTGCCTGTGATGAAAGTGATGATGATAATAAGAGGAAGTGAAAGGCATTAAGTGGTGCAGAGATAAGGCAAGTCCTGTAAATGTGCCTTCCATGCCAATTTAGAAGCTTAGTCACACATTTCCTAAGTCAGCTGTGCAAGTTAAAGCTGTTCTGAATAGCATTAATTTATGCAATCATTCAGCCAATGGAAATATACTGATATTTTAACCTTGATGTGGGATAAAGACTTCTTGGAATGCACAGTACCCTACATGAACCTTTGGTATTTCTCTATTTTCCTCAAATACTTTAATATCCTATTACAGGCTGTAGAAATCATAACAATATTTATCATTTTGTAAGTTTTTATTTTTCATCATTAAATGAATATTAATAATACTATCAATAATAGAAAATCATATTGCTAACATTGAATTGGGACTCTCTCTCTATATATATATATTTAACATATATATTTAAATCATTGCTTATGAACAACTCTTAAAATAATGACTTCCAACTTAGGTTTCCTCCTTGTATTTCACAAGTTAATGGATATGGTTTGTAGGGAGCTTGACTTAGAGTCTCTGTGAGTTTTCACTGCCTTTCAGTGTAGTTTGAGTATTACCCCAGCATGCCTTGGTCATGGTCATTTATGTCAGTCTGATGAACAGGTGGCTTAGCTTCTCTGAAGTCAATTTGTGTGGCTTTGTCTTATTTGCCTCTTTATCATCTCTTTTGTTTCCCAAGTTATGTAACATTTATATATGTAACTATATCTACTAGGTGGTTCTAATTTTTGTGACCATTATTTGATAATATGATTGACAGGTTCTTGGAAACTGACTTTAGGGCCTCCCTGGTGGTGCAGGGGTTAAAGCCTCAGTGCTATAAAGCTATCTCTAGCCACTGCAGCATGAGTTCGATCCCCGCCTAGGGAGCTAACCCACATGGTCCAGCAAAATGCTCCTGTCTTACCCTCAGCAGTGTATTTCTGTAGATCTGCCTGTTCTGCTCCCCACTCTATTTCTGGTGAATCCTCTCACCACCACCACCCCCCACACCTCTGGCCTACACCCCAGTTTTTGTATGCATAAATAAAAATAAATCTTAATAAAAAACTGTGACTATGACTATAACCTATAAGGAAACTAGTTCCTCAAATAAAATCATTTTTTTAGTGTCAATCGGGATAGATTTTTTTCTCATTAATGTTATAATCAAATGACATTGAAAAAAATGATGTTATTCAAAAATCTGCTATATAAAATACAGTATCTGAGATGAATATCACATTTAATAATAATAATCAATGCTGATTTATTATTTTGCTTTATAGTTTCCCAGGTTATAGTCAAATAAAGCTGATTTCATACATATGCTTCAATTATTCACTCATGTGCTCATTCTCCATTCTTTCAAGAATGTATATGCCATGCACAATGGCATAAAAATGGAAGACATATTTGGTGTCTTGCAAGAGCTTATGTTTCACTTTGCTAGAAAACAAAATATTTGTAAATTCTATTTATCATGCACTTTTATTTTCTCATTATGTTTAAAGGCAATACATGATAAAGTCAACAACATTAAAATTTTGTTTTTTCAGGCCAAGAGCTTTATGTGCCTTATTTATTTCACTAGACACAAAGAGGTTGCTTCGCCCAGGGCGCAGATGACATTGGATGTCAGCCTATGTTACAAAGTACTGCTCTAGTTAACCTTTATTTTTATCACAGTTTATGGCTCAGTTGACTAGCTTATTTAGACTGAAATACTCAAATCTCAATCCATAGGTGTTCTATTGAATAAGTTTGTCTCCATAAAGGAAAAGTATTAGCTGGAAATAACATTCTACATATGTATATGCAATTCTTAAATTGTCATACAATTAATCAGTTTTTGTCTACAGCAGAGTTTACATGAAAAGAGGAGGTAGAAAAAGATAGTCTATTACTACCTACATACCTCAGAATAAAAGAATTAACTATCATTTCATGTAGTTTGTTCCATATTTTCTCAATTATTTTTCCGAAACATAATAAACACGTGACTGTTTTTTATCTTTGTGATATCTGCTTAAATTCTCTTAATTATACTTCTGTTTGATGATCAATAATTAGAACTGAAATGAAGAAATTGGTAAAGTAAACAAAACCTGACTTTTGTTTATTTTTTAAAAGATTTATCTATTTAGGCATACAAGAACTGGAATACAGGCCAGAGGTGTGGGGGGTTAGAGGATTCACCAGAGACAGTGGGGAGCAGAACAGGCAGACTGACTGAAATACACTGCTGAGGGGAGCAATGGGCAAGGCAGGAGAGGTCTGCTGCACCATGTGGGTAGCTCCCTGGCTGGGGATCGACCTTGTGCTGCAGTGGCTGCAGATGACTTCTTAGGTTGAGACTTAATCCCTTGTGCCATCAGGGAGGCCCCAAAACCTGACTTTTGTAATCACTTTCTCCTCTCCAATTCTTTTGCACCTTGTCCATTTTTGTATGCCCATAATGTTCACATCAAATCTCATCTTCCTCCAAATTTTTCTTTTCTTTTCTTTTCTTTTCTTTGCTCTATTATAAGAAACATAGAAAATGCTGGAAAATACTAATGAATTCTACATTTGCAGAAAATACATGGAGTTTGAAGTTGAGGGAATATCATAAAGATGTTCTGAGGATGAATTCCTGATTTTGACTGGTTGCATCAGAGAGGGTACCCTGGAAAAGGAACTTGAATATTGGAGAGTTTTAGAAACAAGCAAAACACAGAGAGTTTTCAGAGAAATGGAAGGTCATAAGTAGAGCTGCATGTGGGAAACCTCAGGCTCCTCAGAATGGTGTCCTATCTTCACAAAGCGCAGAGACAGACATCAGTTTTCCCCTCTTCCACCCCTTTATGCCACATCATTCTCTACTGGTTTCTTCCTGTCTCAAGTATTTTCACTGTTGTCAGCACATCTCCTTTCTACACCAATATCTCCATCCTTCCTTTGGTCCTCTGTCTTCATGCCTTTCAACTTGTCTCTTCCTTGTGCCCTTACAAACAAGCACACAAAACATTACACGCAAATAACTTCTCCTGTCTCTCCCAGTCTGGCAGCCAAGTCCCTGCAATGAGTGCACCTATTCTTAGCTTCTCACAGAGGGGATGCTCCACTTTCCCCTCTAATAATGCAGCCCCTGCCAGGATCTCTCCTTCTTTATCAGTCTTATTGGAAATCTCTCATACAGTATTCTAATTAAGAGCTTTCATGTCTGTCCTTGACCTCCTCAAGATAGCATGTGTACGTGGCTCCCCTGTTTGTTGACTTTTAACATCCCCCTTTCTCTTTGGTTGACTTCTCCCAAATTCCTCTTAAATGCAAAGCTTTTCTCATTCTCAACCTCTTGATCCTCATCCATTGTTTGACAGTTCATTTTTCAGTATAAAACTCACATTCACATTTCCAAAATCTGATTTTTTTTGAAGACCCACACAAAGGTTCACCAAGAATCTCCTAAACATTTCCACACTTCTGTCCCACAAGGACTGAGGTAGATCAAAGATGGTTGTACACTGTGCACTCCACCCATTAGAATGCAGGTCTCTTATCCCTCCCCTGGACCCTGGACTATCCTGTGACCATTGCTTTGACAATAGGTTCAAAGAAGTAATGGCATGCAATTAATGCTGTACCAATTGCAGACCTAGTCAGTAAGAGGACTGGCAGCTCTACAGGAACAGCCACCACATAGCAAGGAGAAGGCATAGTATTAAGTGTCATCTAAACCAGCCAGTCTTTAACTCCAGTTCCAACTGCTGTCACAGGCTTAGTGAGGGATTCCAGCATGTGTGCCCAGCTGAGCTCAGTCAGGGCACAGTCACAAAAAAGAACAGAAAAACGTATTTTCAAGAACTAGGTTGTAGGGTGATCTGCTTCACAGTAACAGATATCCAGTCCAAGCACCCAAACTCAAATATTTAAGACTAAATCTACTATCATTAGATTTCTCAACAAAAGGAATTGTTACTTCTTTGTTAACAAACTTTTTTAATATTGTTGTCACAATCACATGTCTTGTAGAAATCTTGCAACTGTTATCTCCTCCTCCTCTGTAAGTTGTCACCTATACTAATTCAGTCTTATGAATTGTTTCTTCAAAATATTCTTGAAAAACTGCATCTTTTCTGTACCACCAATTCTATCTTGGTTCTCAGCATCAGCCTCTCCACATCCCTCCATTATTCCAATGGCTCCTCTTAGTTTCTCTGTTTCAGTTCTAATATCAAGAGCAGATCACAGTAGAGCAAATATTAACTGATTATTATTTCCAAAGCAACATCAGGGTCTGATTTCTAGCCACATTTCTCCGGAGTTCCTAACTGTCACATGAATTTCCCTGAGTACTTTCAGATTCTTCCTTACTTCTGTGACTTCATAAATGCTGTTTTCTTTGCATGAGTCTTTGTTGAGTTCCTACTAGAATATGAGTTCCTTCATGAAGTTTTCTCCTCTTGTCTCAGTGAGTTGGTATTTCCTCACTCAGTTTTGTTTACTCCTGCCTGTGAGCTGTCATTGTGCCAT